CAACTGTCAGTGTTGGGGTTCTGTACTTTATACGGAAGTATCGAGGAACTGCACTTCAGAAAATTAAGAAAAACAGTTCTTGTGGAGACGATTCTCTTCTTGAGAAGGTTGCGGTCGTAAATTCTTTCAGTGAATGTCAAATTGTGGCAAGAACGTTACAGAGGTTAGTAGTTCGTTGCAGAGCTGTTAAATTATTATGTTTTGATTTCCACTGCATGAATGAATTACAAATTACTGATTTCAGAAAATGCGCAAACTTCCGTGTTCTCGGTTTTGACTGTGAGTGGGTAACTGACTTTGGAAAACGTAGGCCAGTTGCTCTAATGCAGCTAGCAACAGGAGATGGCTTTTGTGCTCTCGTTCGTCTGTGCCACCTGAAACAACTTCCACATTGTCTTCAAGTGAGTTAATTATCACATTTTTTATCTTGTCTCTTACCCCAATGAGGCTAGGGGTGTGGTCCAAAGGTGACTGGGACTTGAAATTACTGCTCACATCTTACTGATGATGATGTTTGACAATGCAGGATAAATTCTATTTTAACACTGGCCTCCATTTGTAGGTGTTACAGTAAAGTTACCACATTTTATGACATAATTCATGCATCATTATCATTTACTGTGAAATTAAAAATGGAAAGCTTGCCTTGTACTCAACATAACCTGTTTTTACTTGGAATACATGACATTTGTAGGGATTCTTCATTCTTAGGACTGTGTCCAGTAGTGTACTTTACTATTACAGATGTTAAACTTTCATATTTTGGTACTATACTATTAGTTATTAGAAAGTTTCTCTTTACAGATGTCCAGATAATCTAAATTAGTACTTATAAAGTATAATTTTTATGGAAAAGTGTAACAGAGCAGCTTGCAAAAGTTAAAATCATTACTTATCTTTGCTTGTTTAAAGACATTTGGCCTTCTAGAATCTCTTTGTACTGATACTTCTATATTAGAAATGGATATCTTCGTCCTTTTTAAGTGAGGAAAGGTCAGAATGATCAAAGGATTGTAATTGGATGTGTTACATGTTCTAATTTACAGATTCTGTTTGCCTAAACAGTTCAAAACTTTTATTTCAGGAAATACTTGAAGATGCTACTGTCTTTAAAGTTGGTGTGGTTCCATCTGATGATGCTTCATACTTAATGAAAGATTATGGTATTACAGTGCGCGGGTGTTTGGACTTGCGTCATTTGATGGCGCAGAGTGGCACGGTGTCTCGTGGTGGACTTGCCGGAATGGCACAGAATTTACTGGGGATTAAACTTGATAAAAATTGGCGCATTCGCTGCAGCGACTGGGAGGCTCCTGTTTTAGAACCCCACCAGGTGCGTTACGCATCACAAGACGCGCTGGTCGCTGTTGACATGTTCGATAAGTTGATCCAGCGTGAGTTGAGACCTTGGTGGCACTTCTGGGGTCCAGTAGAACCTAAGTGGGCAAGAATTATTGAGCTCTGCCAAATTTATGTTGATGTTAAGTACAAGGACAGGCCCAAACAAGGTGAAAGTTCTTGTGCTCGACTGCAGAATGGAAGTAGCCAACCTCTGCAGCAGGCCAGTAAGCACACCATGAAACCGTCGTCACGAGCGTACTCGACACGGCAGAAGCCGCTGTATGAAAACTGTATTCTCCAAGCCCCTGATGGAGAAGTCCTTAGTACCTGTGACCGCAAGAAAATTGAATGGTATGAGTTACTTGTTAATTTTTTGCATAGTCCCCTCTACGTATTTCCTTAATATCCATTTTAATATTAGTAGCCTCTACAATTATGTTTTTGCTTGCTTTCACTCCTTCTTAATGAGGCTAATTGACACAGACATATTTCTTTAGTTACTGGGGCATGTTCTAGGTATTTATTCAAGAAGTTGGGAGTAAAAGTACGTGATAATCCCCTCACTGTTCGACTCCTGTTTGAGCCAGCGGGACGAGCTGTGGATGAAGTTGGACGGTACTACACGCAGGAAAAAGCTAACCGTTGTGTAGTTTGCGGCAAGAATGAGTCATATATCCGAAAGTGCATTGTGCCCCGTGAATACCGCAAACATTTCCCCGGTAAGCTACGTACAAACTTCCTTGGACTTCTGTTATATCTTGCTTTTTCATCCGTCGAGCAGCGTTCATGATTAATTTTATTCTGTGTGAGAGTACAGCTCTGTTTGAAGTGTTTTTGATTTCCCTTATTTTTATTTATTTATTTAATTTATTTTATTTTATCAATTTTATCAGTCTCTTTGTTATGGGATAGTAGAGTCAGTACAGTGAAAAGGCTGTGGGTCGGATAACCAGAGTTTGATTCCTGGCAGGGTTAAGAGATTTTTCTCTTAGCCGCTCTTTGTAGTCTCTTATCCAGTGAATACCATGAGCGCTTTCCCAAGACATAAAGCAGACAAGACATGAGGCTGACTGCCAATCTCTAAGGTCAAGAAAGAGTGGAGCTGTACCTCCGTTCCTCCCACACATTTTCATGGTTTGTACTTAGATAAGCACCATGGACGTCACCTTTGCCACTTATTGGTTCGTCTGTCGGGCATCTGCATTCAAATGCTTTCTTTTTGTGTTTTGGAAATTACATCTGATGACAGTTTTAAACTGAATACTAATGATTTTATAAATTTAGGTCTTAGATAGGTGCTTTATATAAGCAAAATTATAATTTTAATTGCAGTTGTGATGAAAGACCACATTTCACATGATGTTCTTCTGTTGTGTCTGGACTGTCACTTAAAGAGCAGCAGTTTTGATGTCGCGCTGCGTCAGCAGCTTGCGGTTGAATGCAACTCACCAATTGGTAGCTGTGATGATGTTAAGGTATACTACATTGAGTATCAGATATTTAAAATGTGGGTGGAAGTTTTCTTTAGCATCAGCTGATACTTTCTCCACGTTGGACTGTCGTATGAAAAAGTCTCAGTTGTAAGATTTGAGGTTTTCACAGCGGTGAGTATGAAGATTTCTGTCTTCTGGGTTGTTGCGCTGTGTAGTCTGGTCGACGTTTATCAACGTTTCAGAGGTCATATTGCCTCCGTCATCAGGGCGATGAATATTCATATGTTATTCATCGCACTGATGACGGAGACAGTATAACCTCTGAAACGTTGATAAACATCGACCAGACTACACAGCGCAACAACCCAAGAGACAGAAATCTTCATACTCATCGCCCTGATGATGGAGGCAGTATGACCTCTGAAACGTTGGTTAACATCGAC